TCCCTCTTCCACAAGAGTCTTCAGCAGTTGTTTTAATGGTTCCTTTTAAAGTAAAGGCCTTCCAGCTTGCACGTTTGAATCGAGCTACAGAACCAAGTGAAGTTGTGTGATCATCTTCACTTATCCCCTGGAAGCCTTTTCATGTCCACCGGACTCCCATACTGCTAAGGTCTCTTGCAGGGCAGATGTTAGATGCCTTCTGAGCCTTCTGTGTGCGGTAAAAGGAGAGGGATTATCAGGCGTCAAAGTGTCCCACAGCTTTAAAATTCACTGAGCACCTTGTGAAAGGAAGAGAGGATAAAAAGATATGACTCCTGCTCTGGGTGGGAGACAAAAGAGGAAGCAAAATAAAATTGGCAGAATAGCCAACCTGCCTGTGCTAGCGCCTTGAGAGTTTTTTTGAAGAATGTGATTTACAAGTGTTTGCAAGAGAATGACTGGCTTCATGTCCGCTCAGGAAGCTGGAGTAATGGATTGCTAAATAGGGTCGGGGAGGTGAGATAGCAGGCTTCTACCCTTACCTCGCCAAGCTGAGCTCAAAACTGTAAAGCCATAGCACTAAATATTAAATGTGCAGCTCTCTGGAGAAAGTGTAATTGAGGAAATTATAGATTGTCATGTTAGGAGGCTTACTACAAATTTTGCAACTCTCCGGCTACTGGAGTCATTGAAATTACACCTAGTAAGGAAGCTTTTCTTCTGTCCTCTATAGGAATGGTGTTTTGTGGAAGCTTAAGACACAGGGTGAGATTCAGTCCAGCACCTTAGGTACCTGACTGGTACTCATCTGTTAGATGATTTAGTGAGGCAGTCTTCCTGAAGTAAGCGCCTAAGGTCTGTATCTGGTCAGTGGAGAGAGGAAGGTCCTATAGAAAACCTCCAGAGGGATATATCATCTGCCTCTGCGGTAAGTGCACAAGCTTTTCCTGTTGGGAACTTCAGAAGCACTTTATTTTCTCCGCTGAGGAAGACTGTTCCTTCACTACTGATGCTCAGGCACTAGTTCAGGGCTTAAGCTAGTTGGGCAACATCCTGACCATACCTATTACAATAAAATGGCCAATTTAAGGACCCTGTTTATCTCCATCTTTTCCAATCTGAGCAAACCTTGGTAATCAAGGTTTTTGATTACCTGCTTTGTCCTTGTAAACTGAGGAATTTACTGTCCTGACAATTATCAGGGCCAATATATGTACCAGGTCTGGCTGGCATGGAGTTAATTTTCTTCATAGCAGCCCATATGGTGCTGTGTTTTGGATTTGTGACCAAAACAGTGTTGATAACACATCAATATTTTAGCTGTTGCTGAACAGTGCTTGCACAGTGTCAAGGATTTCTCTGTTTCTCACACTGCCCTGTCAGTGAGCAGGATGGGGGTGCACAAGAAGTTGGGAGGGGACAGAGCTGGGACAGCTGACCCAGCTGACCAAAGGGATAGTCCACACCATATGACATCGTGCTCAGCAGTAAAAGCTGGGGATGAAGGAGGAAGGAGAGAGGTTCAGAGTTGTAGCATCTGTCTTCCCAAGTGACCGTTAGGCGTGATGGAGCCCTGCTTTCCTGGAGATGGCTGAACACCTGCCTGCCCGTGGGAAGCAGGGAATGAATTCCTTGTTTTGCTTTACTTGTGCACACAGTTTTGCTTTATCTATTAAACTGTCTTTAGCTCAACCCACGAGTTTTGTCACTTTCACCCTTCTGATTCTCTTCCCCATCCCACCAGGCAGGAATGAGCAAGCGGCTCACAATGGTGTATATATTTGCCTATGCTGTTATGCAAACAGAAGACTTAATGCCTATTCTGATTTTAACACAGGGTGGAACAGAAGAAAACAAACATCACACGATTCACAAAAGATATTTTTAGAATTCTAATGATTTGTTTGGATATATGAACTATTGAATTAACTCTTCAAACAGATAAAAGTGAAAGCTTCTTACTAAAAGCTGCATATACCGCACCTGACCATTTCTATGAATGGTGAGGGAGTTGAGGCACTAAGAGGTTAGTGATATAAGAGCTGTCCTCAGTCACACAGGCTGGTGGAAAAACAGAAGAAAAGTCTCCTAATCTTGATATTGACAGTTAAAGCACTGTCATCACCATTAATGAATCCAGCAATATTTCCAGACACGTATCTCCCGAGAAATTCACATTACTCAAGTACAAAGACCTGTGGAACTAGGGAAAGCATGCAATTACATTCGGTCCAGAGAACCTGTTACAATTATCGATTAGGCTTTCCTATTACAGAGAACTACCCTAGAGAATTACCTACCTAGAATCCCATATATAATGAGTGACTAGTAAAGTTTGTTACGTTTTGGGTTTTTTTCATTATTTTTGTAGTTTTTTGGGGTACACAACTGAGGCAAGAACAGTAATCCATACTCTACCTGGACAGTTCAAATTTACCAAACAAATTTGGCACCAGAACCAATTACTTCATTTTAACCGAGATTCTGAAACATTTCATATTCCCTTTTTCAAAGTTTTGTCCCATCTCTCCTCTAATGGAGTTGTTTCCACTATGGAATCACAGAAGATAGAGCTGGAAAAGACTTATTACATCTTTTGTTCTACCTTTTTGATTTTAGAAAACGCAAGTGATGGCACTATCCCATTTGACCCATTCTTTTACTTAATCCTGAAAACTAGCTTAAATTGACAGGATTTCTCTATGCTCAGTCTAGTCTACTTTACCAAAAAAACCCCTCAACCCCCCAAAAACCCCAAAAGACAGGATATTAACAGCAAAAACAATTACTAAAGCAGCTGAAAGGACATCCTACATTTTAAAGCAATAATTGCTCTAATTTAGATTTAATATGCATAAGCTATTCAAATATATAACGGTATTGCATTCTAAGGAGTGGAGGCACTCCAAGGGTCACAAAGCTCATGAAAGCTTCAAAATAGAGTATAGCTGTCAAATAAGAATTCTTGAGCTAGCATGCTTAAAAAATAAAATCAGTTGCCTTTAAGTTTTAGAAATTAGACCATGGCCATTCAAGTTCCAGTATGCAAGGCAAAAGCCAACCCTAGCTGTACATGCACAATGATGGGCTTTATTTCCATTCAGTAAAGAGATGTAGTCATGGTGGATAATTCTATGGAAATATCGTCTCAGGGAGTTGTTAAAAAGCAAGCAGAGTGCTAGGAATTAATAATAAAAAAATCAAGAGCAAACACAAAACATGGTGCACTCATGGCTTGACTACTGCAACAGATGTAATCACACATCTCAGACAGGAGATAGAATAGGAAAGGTACATAGAGAGACAGAAGGTAGGTGGATAGATAGAAGAGAGATAAGGATAAACCACGGTCTGGGTCAGTTTCTGTATCACAGAGATTAAAATGGAGAAGACCGTGGAAGAAAAGACAGCTAAAGTGGGATATGAGAGAGCTCTATAAAATCTTGATCATCCTGGGAACAATTCATTGTTCTTCACAATCATAAGAACAAGGAGGCATCAAATGAAATTAACATCTAGTAGGTTAAAACAAATAAAAGGAAATAATAGTTCACAGCATGCACAGGTCCATTGTAGAATTTATTGCTACGGGAAACTCTGGATGCCAAAAGTTTAGATGAGTTCAGGAAGTCGCTTCAGATAATGGTTTGACAAATTAATGAAAGAAAATTCCATCAAGGACTACAAAACACACAGAAATAACCTCTGGGCCAGTAAGTCCCTAAGTTGCAGACTGCCAGAAGTTGTGAGGAGTTTTGCTGTGGGTAGGTTGAGGAGGTGCATGTCCACTTGTTTTATCCTTTCCTTGTGGCATCCACTACAGGTCACTTCCTGAAATAGGATACTGAGCTAAACGAACCTCTGGTCTGTAACAGTATAGCTAATCTTACATTGTGCCCTTGTCACAAAGCAGAGATAACAGTGGCAAAACATCCTCCCTTTGCTTCCCATTTAATACGCTTCCACCTCTTTGCTGTGTGGATTGAACACATTGCAAAGTAACTTTGTAAAAGCATGAGCTCTTGCTCATCCTTGCTCCAGATACCCTCTGCCTCCAGGAGAAATTGGAAGCAACAGCCAAGTCAGGTCCACCCTGGTACTGCCTCCAGGATGTGGCATCTTGGAAAAAGCTGTCGCATTTCATGCCTGGTGCATACGTGCTGGTATGTATTTTTAAATACATAATCTGAGGCAAATAGCCTCAGATTTTAGATTGGGGCCAGATGGCTGATTCGAGTGAAAATAACACAGATACACAGAGGAACGGTCACTCCCAAAAGACTGAACTGTGTACGTAACAGGATGCACAGGCTCCGAACAGTACTGCATGTCAACTACTTCATATTTCAACACTAACTGTGTTCATGAAAATAAGAAGTAAAGACCTGATGCATCTCAAGACACTGAGAATTTAAAGCTATTTCTGAAACTGGCTTTAATTCTTTGACTTTCCAAGTGAACTCTTTGTTTAGGAAGAGACAAGCAGCCACAATTTTTGAGCCTTTTTTCCACTAAAATTACACCACACCGCTTAAAAGATAAAGTGGAATTTAAGGCTTGTGTTTTCAGATTTACAGAATATATATTATTCAACAACTAAGTAGTAAAACAGGTCACCATATATTCACATTTATCACCATCTCCCTTTTACCCTCCTGAATGCAGAGAACTGCAATATCAAAAGTACAAGCAGAAAGAAAATGTTTTTGAATGCAAATTATAAAATGTTCAGTATCAAGTCTCTCACTCACACATACTAGTTTTACAACTGAAATTTTCTCATTTAGTTATGATTTAAGTAGGGTAAATATAGCTTGAATTTACTATTCTCTCCTCTTCCCCCTCACAAGATGTCGAACCAAATCAGGGAATTGTTTAATCAAATTTTTAAGTGAAAAGTTAAATTTTGCCTCTTGGCAGCAATCCTCTCCCAGAAGTTTGCATGTTCCCAGTGCTTGGCACTTTCCATTCTCATTGTTTACCTGTGGTGGATATAGAACCAAATATACTACAGGACATACCATGAACAGCTGCAGCAACAGCACCAACAAAAGCAACATGTGTTGTTGGGCCTTTGGTTTCCAGGTGCTTGAGACACAGCTGATGTTCCTTCATTTTGTGGCTGCTGCCTCTTTCTCATTTCAGCTACTTCAGTGCCCAAGTGGCTATAAGAACACAGACATAAAAGATGTACAGAATTACTACAGACTGTCATAAAGTACATTCACATTTCTACAGCAATCTCCGATTCTACTGATTCTCACAGCTCATGGCAACAAAAGCACGTGGCCATCAACTGTCCTGGCCAAGTAATAGTCCTATTGTGTTAAAAGCAGTTTCCAGAAGACCACATTTTAGTGACACGCTTACGCTACCGTGCCTTTGAATCACGTCTATTCTTATCGCTTTGGCCGGACTAAAATGGCTGTTTATTACCCTTTTGAACAGCAAGCTACACAGCTTGTGTAGCACTTGGTAGAGACTGAGTTGTTCCTTACCATATGACTATCACAGCTCTTTCCATTATACTAAAAATACAGCGGGATGGTTATTCACTTTAAACGTGAGCTGGAAACTGATCTTTTTTACTTTTTGACTTCTCTGGTCAATGCTGGACCAATGAAATTGATATAAGTGATATATCACGGGCACTAATAGCTGTCTGTTAAGAGCCAAGATTATTATAAGTGTCATAACTGGGAGGTTTGCTACTTAAGATTTATTCTCTGTAAATAAAATGAATAATAAATACGTATTTCCAAAATACTTTTCCAACTTTGGGACTATTTTCTGGTCACAGAAGATTTTCTCTTGCTCATTGCCAGCCTTTCCTAGGTTTTATTAGGCCAAGATATTTTTCTTTCCAGTGACTTGCAATATGCAGCTGGAAGTAATATTCCGTGCATTACTTAGTTTTCAAAAGAAGTTAAAATTGCTAAGTTATGTTATTTAGGAAGGTTTAGATGTCAGGATCCTTCTAATGCTTCACATCATCTTTGTACAATAACTGTAAGTTTCCCAGAGTAATGGCTATTACAAGCATATGTAAATTAGAATAAATCTAGTACTTTTGCCTTTGAAAAAGTACAAACAGATTACTGTGGGGAGGAGCCCAGTTTAAAACAGAAGTGGGTAGAAGATGGCCTGGTGTGAGCAGCATGTGCTGTGCTCGACACCCCCAGGGCATCTTGCTGCAGCCAGGAGTGCTGGGGAAAGGCAGGCTCTGGTTGATTTGCCACCTGGATACATCATGCACAGCCAGCCGAGAGATGTGCTGCTCCGTCTACCTGCATCCAAGCAGCAGCTGTGAGAGTTTGCATTTACATGGTTGCTAAAACTCCTGAAGTTCTTCTGTAATAGTGTCCTTATAGACAGTTTACACACAACAACATGTAGCAAGGATATTAAGCTTCAGAACTCGAACTCATGCTGCAAAACTCAAGGTTGGTGATTACTTCAGCTTCTTGCATAGCTAACTTTTCCATGTACACTGTCACTGAATAGAATCAAGTAATTTCTGAAGTGTTTGGTCAAATTAAACAATGAAGAATGATTTAACTATCTGTGGTGGGGGCACCTGCTTATGCTATTGATATTACTTCTTATGGTTTATAGTTGCTGAACTCTTGAGGATTAAAATGGCATATTAAAAAACCCCCACACCTCTTTTTTATCAAATGTAAACATGTGTTGTTAACAAGGAATACTTTGACATAATTGAAAAAATGCCCATATTTTTACAATAGATAGGAAGGAAAGGAAAAGCGTTGCAGCATGATACTCAACTCAGACAGTGAGTGACAGTATGGAGTCACTTTCTGCAAATTACAGTGCTGAACTTCTGCTGACTGCGCATGATGCGGTTAAATTATTTCATAGATAGCTGTGTCATGCTGTGAATGGTACTTGCTTCAGCAAGTGCAATGACTATGGTGAAAGAAATTAAAGCCAGATACTTTCACAGGGAACGTTTGCTTCTTGTAAGATAGAGATTCTAGAAACATTTCTACAAAATCACAAAATTTATTCATTTCAGAAACCAGTGAAATTACCCATACTTAGGTATTTGTAGGGCTGTAATCTCGGAATGAAAACATCCCACGCATTCCACCTGTGTAGCTAAAATTATGCATTTCTTACTATAGAATTTTAGCTATATATAAAAAATGTACTATGGCTAGAACCTGTTGCACTATAAATACAAGGGGGCAGGATGGAGGTTATCCATTCAGACATGATGGTGACAGTTGGTGACTTTGCTATACTTTCACAATAACTTTAACACAGCACAAGCTGCCGTGCCACTGAAATAAATGTCTCTCTCCCTTTTCTCCTGCACAGCTCACAGTCACTCATTCCCTCACCTGAGCTGTCCCCTTCTCTGTGCTGGCAGCAGCATTTGTGCAGGTACTTGGTGAATTGGATAAAAGAGTAGGCGTGATTTAAAATTAATCCAGAGGGGAAAGAAAAAGATAAAATTACTTTTAATTTGGTTCTAGTCCCAGTCTTGTTCACCTTGGGAAGATGTGAGCGCTTGGGCCAGAGCAAGGGAGGAAACAGAACAGTATCGTGCAAACATCAGGCAGGCGAGGGGAGCGTGGGTACCACTTCCTTCAGTCCCTGCTCGTGCTGGCAGGAACTGATGGTGCAACGGATGGGAGTTGCTCAGCTGCAGAAAGGTAAAATCTGCGACTGTAATTCCCAACACACAGCACATGGCATGTCTGGGGGGCAGAGTCAGAAGTGTGGTTTCATAGGAATTGTCCACGTCCTCAGCCCTGCCCAGCAACTTCTACCACTGAAAATGCTCCAGCAGTCCCCTCTCAGTATGGACTGCCATGGCCAACTGTTTTGGAGGTTTGCAAGTCTGGCAGTACGTGGTAGCAACAGGAGTTGTGAGGAACCATGGGTCTTCATTGTAGAGCATTTCAGGAGGCATGGTTTCCTCCAAGGCTGCTCAGCGCCCACAGGCTAGCCAGTCTTTAGAGTGGGACTGCTTGCTTTGCTATGGTCTTACTCTGCTCTGGAGTATAGGGAGGAACATGACCCATCCCTTTCCTGACCGTGCATTATCTGGAGGAGGAAGAGGGCAGTCCTCAACTGCAGGTACAGGTACATTTACCTATTTAGGCTGTATCTGAAAGAAGAAGAAAAAAAGAAACACCATCCCCGCCCCCCCCCCCACCCAGCTCCCTTAAACCACAGA